TGAAGATGTCCGCTACCTTCATTGGTAACAGCACAGCCATTCAGGAGCTGTTCAAGCGCATCTCTGAGCAGTTCACGGCCATGTTCCGCAGGAAGGCCTTCTTGCATTGGTACACTGGGGAGGGCATGGATGAGATGGAGTTCACGGAGGCAGAGAGCAACATGAATGATCTGGTGTCCGAGTACCAGCAGTACCAAGATGCCACAGCAGAAGAGGAGGGAGAGTTTGAAGAGGAGGCTGAGGAAGAGGCTGAATAAACCAACCTATGAGTATTGTTGTAAATTATTCGAAAGGTCTTCTGCTCTGTTTCCATGTATTTGTCTGTTGTGGTTTTCTCGTACTGTACAGAAAACTTGTACCATTAAAATTTGCAGTTTTCTATCTTTGTGTCCTTGAGGTCCATTGTATTACTCCAATTTAACTTTTGTCAACTCCATCCTGGACTAGCTTCACATCTATGCATTGCACTAACTCCTTTGTTCTGAATGGCACCTTAAAGCATGGTAGGGTTGTGGTATGGCACACCAGGGCAGGGTTTCCATCTCTCTAGGACACTGGTTTCCCATTCCAAATGAATGGCTGATCTTAAACACAGTGCAGGTCAATATTCAACATAATGCCCTTTTTAAGGCCCCATTCATAACGTGCAGCTATGAATGGGGCCTTAACTTCCTGTGGAAGCTGTGCCCAAAAAATGGCAAGCTGAGGACTAGTCACCAGTGTTGCCTGAAGTCTCCTTGTAGCTGATTATTTACTGGCTTCCCATGCCTCATTCCATACTGCATGGAGGTGGCATCTTGATAGAGCTGTCTCAATGACTGGTGGGGTAATCAAAAAGCAGCAGGAGAGCTAGTGGGGCATAAAATGGAAGCGGGGAGATCCTTCCTTTGCAGGTCCTTGGGTAGTTTCCTCTCCAGCAAGTAGAACAGTGGGCAGCATGTGACCTCGCCAAGGCATAGGACTGTATAGCTACCTTTCAGGATGAAATCAGACCTAACTAGCCTTTTCAGAGTACTGCTTAAGCACAACTAACCTATCCTAGATCGTGCCTAAAGATGGCAAGTCTCTGCTGTCGGAGTTTGTCCACTTTAAAAAGAAACAAGTATAGGTGGCTATTGCTGACTGATGGCTTTGGCTCACTGACCTTAGACCAAGCTTGTAGATCAGGCATTTTGAAATAACTAGCTGCATACTTTTTCAGGCTACTGGCAGTCAGGAATGGCATCCCGCATCACTGGTTTCCTTACCAATACCTGTAATACACGTTCTGTTTGAACTCTTACCTGAATTTTATGGAGCACAGAAAACATGCCTTCAATTTCTAGCTTTAGTTTTTGAATAGTGGTTAAGGTGCCCATACACTGCACGATTATCGTACGATAATCGTATGCGATCGGGTTTTCGTACGATAATCGAGCAGTGTGAACTGAGACGTGCGACCGTTTCTACTGTACGGTCACACGTCTTCTGTCGAACCAGCATGTTCGAAAACCAGCCGGGAATCGTACGATTCTTGGCTGGTTAGAATGGTATTCGGAAGATAAATGCTGAACGGGCCGGTGTGCGCACGCGCACACTGCCCGTTCAGCATTGCGGTCATCGGAAGCCCGCCCCTCGGGGGCGGGCTTGCGATGATCGAGAGTGCGATCTGCCTGTCCAAGATAGGCAGATCGTACGTTTTTTTTTTTTTAATCCTTTTACAACCATCGCAAGACTTAAGTCTTGCGATGGTTGTAGAGTGTATGGCCACCTTAAGA